TATCTAAATAAGTATCTAAAGCGAAGTTCTAATATCTATTCTTCCCTTTTGCTATTCATTCCATGATATATCACTCACTGCTCTAAGTAAATTTTCTATAGAAACAATCAATCCTATCTAAATAAGTATCTAAAGCGAAGTTCTAATATCTATTCTTCCCTTTTGCTATTCATTCCATGATATATCACTCACTGCTTCAATGCAGAGGTTAGCGTTTCTTTTTAGAAAGTATGCCCGACTTTCGAGATGCCTTCACCAAAATGCAGAATATAGAATAACTATATAATGGTATTATTTTAGTAATTATATTCTATCTAAATCGTTAAGTTGGTTATTGAAACATATCTAAGGCTGGTATTTGGTATTTTCTTGGCAGTTTCCCATTCACTCCACAATCTCTCTTGCACTATATTATTATTAAGGTATGGGTTTCTTATAAAAGGGTATGCTCTACTTTTAATGAACATTCGTCAAGTTGTACAATAGGTTCCCTATTCTCTTAACTTGTGCAAACTAACTTTATCTGAAGTTATTTAGAGAAACAATCAGAATAATTGATATCTAACTACGTTCATTATATCTTGGTCTACTCACACATTCACATTTCTTTCACTTTTTCAATATTAAGCTAAGGGTGCACTTGATGGGGCTGTAAAAACAGCTGCCCATTGGCTGACCACTATCATATATATATATATACATATACATATATATGGAATATATATGAATTTGTGTATTTTTGGGCCGGTTAGCCTGCGGTTGTTTATGACATGATTTTGCAATTTGTGAACATTACGAGATGGGGCACATGAGGCGCTCATCAATACACGCCCATTGAATGCCCCTTTGGGGTCGCCTCGTGGGGTACAGCAAACAGCTTCTTACGTCAGCCGAAGCGAATGTCGTCAGAGACGTTGCCAAGAGATGCGACAGAGGCAGGGGGCAGGGGGGCAGGTGGGCAGGCAGAAAGTGAGCAAGAGAACAGCCACAGCTATAGCCACTGCAGCAGTTGCAGTTGCTGGGGTTGAGGCGCAATGCATTAAATGCAATTGAATTCTATGCCCAAGGGCGTTGCATGCAACCTGTGCCGTGTCACTGCTCTTTCAGCAGCTCTGCTCGCTGCTGCTTGGCTCGGCCAGCTTTAATTTGCCATTTTAATTATTTAAAATGTCACAACTATGTCGAATGGCTAACAATTAGTAAACAATGCAACGCGAGCAGGGGAAGTGTGAGGCAGAAATTTGCAATGAATTCATGTCAATCATGCGGGGAATGAAAGAGAAAATAATGATAACTCAAGTCAAAAACATTTTATGAATTTATAAAAAAATTCAAAATATTGCAATATGCTATGTGATAGATTTTAGAGAAATGTCTATAGATATTTCAATCTAATATATTTATATAATTTTTAGAAGTCTTTCCAAAACTAAGTGCCTCATTGATGATGTTGATAATTCTACAAAATGCCAATGTAGTTACTCAAATGTCTTGTTAAATGAGCTTAACTTAATTTAGTTTTTGACAACTATAGAAAAGTACTATCGATCGCCTAGGAAGTGTATACATTAAATCAATATTTTCTATATTTAATATAAACAAAATTGGAAGAGTATATGGTATCTTATTATGATGTAAATGAAATTTTCTCTAAATAAAAAGATGGAATTAATTTGGTAATATTTCGTGCAGAGACGTTCTCGGTTATCCACCTCTATCAGAAATCAATCCCTTAGCTATCTATCACTAGAATCATCTAATTCAACACTCATTGACAAATACAGGGTATTTAAAGATCGAGCTGCTTAAGAGTTTGTTATTAATTTGGCAATATTACCTACAGAGACGTTCTCCTGAGACATCTACCTTCATCATAAATCAATCCCTTAGCTATCACTAGAATCGTCTAGCCCGTTACTCTTAGGTAAATGTAGGGTATTTAAAAATCGAGCTGCTTATGAGTTTGTTAATCTTTTTCCTTTCGAATTCTTGATGAAATGGGTGCAACATTTTCAATTTATATGCAACATGCAATTGCAAATGCAACAGCAACAATGCCTGGTACTGAATGGGCGTGTGACTTGGCGTATGTGTGTGTGTGTGTTTGTGTGTGTGTGTGTATGTGTGTGTGTGACTAGGTGCATGTGTGTGTGGGAAATCAGCATAAACAATGCTAAAAGCAGGGCTAATAGCTACAATAGATATTGTATCTGACAGTTGCATAGATACAAATGTTGGCAAGAGATACATTTTATATCTGCTATCTATAACTAAATATATGTATGAAATCTTACCTTGGATTCTCTGGCACCGTCTCCTCTGCTGACTGCTGCTGCTGCTCCTGCTCCTCCTGTGACTGCGACTCGGGCATTGGGACGACTCCTGCTATAGTGGGCACATCCCCCGCATAATCCGTGGCAACTTGCGTTTGATGCACATTTTTATGGTAGACAATTTCAGATGGCGGATGCTTTTTGTTGTAATTGATTGTATTGCCATTATGCAGCTCATTGTTGTTGTTGTTGTTGCTGTTGCTATTGCTATTGGATTTGCTCAGCGGCGTATAAATAATCGGTACAAAGTGTCCCGGCAGCGTGTTATGCGGTGTAAACGGCGTTAAATTGACTTTTGATTGTTTAGCACGCTGTCGCTGAAACTGCAGCTGCAGTTGCGGTCCTGGTGGCAGCAGCTCGTACTGCTGCTGCTGCTGCTGTGGCTGTAGTTGCTCCTGCTGGCGATGATGTGGCGGCTCCTGCTGCGGCAGCGGCGGAAAGTGCTGCACCGTCTTGTGCTGTAATTTATTATGATCATTTTCACGATTATATTCGACTTTATTTATGCAGTAATCATATTTATTTGTGGTACTTGCCTTTGCTGCGCCGGCGCTCAATGGCTTGTAGGCAATAAATGTGGCGCCCGGCGATGGTGGCTCCTTGCCCGGCACAGGTGGCACTGGTCCATGTGGCCCATGCGGCACCGCCAACGCATGATACACATCGGCTGCATTGGACTGATAATGCGACTGTTGTTGTGGATGATGCGATGGCGGCATGTAGGCAACCGGCACGGGTATGCGGCTGGGCGGTGCGGCGGGCGGCGGTGCCAACAGCTGTGAGCCACCGGCGGACGAGCCATGCTTCACAGCATATTGCTGATTGATGGGCAGCTCCGGTGCTGGCAAATAGAATGCCATATAGGGTATCAGGCGACGATTACGCTCTGAGCCACTCGACTCGGCATCGGGAATGACGCTGCTGTGGTTGTGCTTGCCATCG